TCCATATAAATTAATCGTGGAAAGATGAAAGTTGATTTAAATATAAATGTTTCGATTTCCCATGATTAAAATAAATAATAACATTTCATTTGATATGAAAAGAAAAGTGTTGCTTGTCAAGATTCAAATCATGCTGAATATAATTGGTGATGCCACCTTCAATCAATATTAGAATTTAAATATTCAAATATCTATAATCTCCTTTGATATTTGTAAATGATATTTAAATAATAGGATGTTATTATTAAAATAGTGTTAACTCATTTATTCTTATTCTCATCATCATAACTAAGTACTGTTGCGGCATTTCCATATGATGCCCTTTCAAAGAAATGCATATTCGCTGCCTAAGGATGATTGGGATAAGCAAAAGAGGGATTGCACTGCGTTTGGTATTTACGGGCTTCGCATTCCATCAATGTCATTCTCGCATTGAAAATCTCGGGGCGGACTCTAGTTATACAATCAACGTCTAATTGCGATCTCGCTTCCATAGAGGCAATTACAACAGAACTACTACTACTACTAATAACCTATTTATATACAAAAAAATATTCCCGTAGACCACTTACTTATCTAACCGAGATTTAATTGCGAAAAGCCGGCAATCGCCAACGCTAAGTGCAAATAAAAATATGGAAAATAAAAAAGAAGAGAAATATGGATAAATAAATTATTAATAATAATAACAATGAATGCCCTTCCTAAAACATTTCAAAATCGAAACCGCAATTAAGAAGCACACTGACATTCCAGGAACTCTCTTCACATATTGAATAATTATTATTATTTTTTCAGATGCGCAACTGAAAGCGGATCGGTTGCGCAATGCGTTTTTTTTTATTGTTATTTTTTAATGCACATACTTGGAGATCCTTTCGCGCAATGAATAATACGGAATTACTTGATTCTCCATAATTTCTTCTTGCAACTCTTCTTTATTTTATTGTTTTTATTATGCTCAATGAAATGCATCTGAAAGTGAGCCGGTTTCACAATTGGTTTTGCATTTCACGAACTATCCAACGCTGTTAATGAATATAATTTTGTAAGTTTATGTAAATGTCAGTAATGGAAACATTTGTAGATAACTACCAAAATTGCTACACTGCCAAGATAAAAATTATACATTGCTATGATAATATATGTTATGAATACATTTGTATATGCAATTGATTATAAATCGCAAATTATTTATTATTTAAATCCAATATTATTGTTTATTATTATTATATTTATATCGTTAGTTCAATGTATTATCTTTTTTTAGACTTAGAATAAATTATGTAACCAATTGAAATAATAATCGTAGCCAAGGATTATTTCAATTCGTTACGTAATAATACAATTTAATTTGTTTTCTAATATTTTAATCGTTTTAGATTAAACCCGTTTTTTTGTAAGTGAAATATTAAAATCTTTAATTTTGTTATTTTTTTTTCATATTTTACTTTATTGATTATATACATATTATTCGTAATTACATACACTAAATATCTTTAAATATGTATCAAGCAGAATTTTCAATAAATCATTTAAAATGTATTATAAATTGAGTTTACACAAATGTTTTGTTAACATATACTTTTCATATTATACTGTGGGAATTAATTAAATTAAAATAAATGATATAAGTTTGAAAAGTAAATTAAATTCTTACATTTTTTATTATACAGGATGGGCCAACTTGGTCAAAATTATTGAATTTTATTATATTTCCCGACAATGTATTGTTACAATACACAAAATAATACCGTGCGAATTTGAATGTTCCAACAGCTCCCAGTGCAAACATGAAAAGAAACTTAATCAGCTGTTTTTAAGAACGGGGTGCAGTATGTGTTCATCAACAATGAAATGTTCATGGTACTGTTTGCAATTAAGAAGCTGTGATGGCTGTACGACAGTGTGTCAACGATGATCCATTTGAGTTGGGAATCGCTAAGAACATAGCTAAGACGAATATTGAAACTTGATTTGAAGATGTATCCATACAAACTTCCAGAACATCGCTAAGACGAATATTGAAACTTGATTTGAAGATGTTTCCATACAAACTTCAATTGGCCAAAATATTGTTAACATTGTTGCGAACAATGCCTTAGATATTGCAATATATTTCAAAAAATTCAGATTTGTCTTTTCCTCCCCGTTCTCCCTAATTTATTTTTGTGGGGATGGTTTATCAGAATAAACTACAAACAATAAACTAGCTTAAATACATTATTCGTAAAGAAATGACAAATTTGGAGCCAGAAATGCATTAGAAAGAGTCAATACGCTTCAACAAGAAAATGGAAGTCATTTAAATAATATTATTTTCCACACACATCTGAATATAAATAAACACAATTACAAAAGTTATATGTATTTTATATCAGTCAGTCAAACTTGGCCCACCCTGTATAATCTATACTTATAAATATTAAAGTATAATTGATAATATTTAAAATAAAGTGAAAATTATAATAAATATATAATTATAGTAATACCTCATATAGTGCGGTTTCCAAACTATAGTACGTTTTAAAAACATACTTAATTTTAATTAAGCAGAAGGACCTTGGTCAATAACCATTTGGTCAGAATTGTTAACATTAAATATGTTAAATAAATATATAATATTATTAAAAAATATTTTTTATACAAAAAACATGCTTTTACATCTTTTTATGCTCCCGGTTTTAATATCCCCGATTAGTCAAATATATTGGGAGAACTGATTATCCGCTTGCATTTACTGCATTATAAATATATTTGTTAAATAATGCTCTTTTGACTATTAAACTGTTATAGCACATCTGACGCCTAAAATTTACATTTTTTAATTAATCGAGAGATTTAACGTAAATAATTAATAAATACAATTATTTTATTAAGTTTTGATGAAATATTATAGATTTTTGATATTTTGCATCAAACATTCCTTGAATCTGAAATTCCTTTGTTTGTCTCAGGACATTTTATTGAAGTTTATGAGAGTGTTGTTGTTCACTTCCTAATGAGAGTTTCCAGATAATTTATAATTATAAAATAATAACTCAAGCCAAACAGAAAGGTAAATACAAGTAAACTTATAAATATTAAGTTTATTTTTAACATTTATTAAACATTCCAGTTTTATTAGTCGCATATTTATATAAATTACATTGCGATATATCAATTAGTACTATTTGTTGTTACATTTATATAATCTATTTTAGTAAAACAAATATACATTATTAAGTATGTCATCCGGTAATTAATTGAAAATTTTAAGGAAATCCTTTTTTGTATGCTTGATTGCATTACGACAATTATTGAGTAAGTTTATTTATTGTCGTAGCGAGATCGCGTCTGGTAATAAATCTTAAATTTACAATTCAAAATAATTCACTTTTTAAAGAAATTCCAGCCTCGTTGGAGTAGTTATGCACTTCGTAATTTCCTTTTTTGTCACCGACGGGCAAAACACTTTCTTTCTGCATTGCTCGGCTACATAATATAAATATAATTTTGGAGACCTGAAGGCATTTCGGTAATTTTATTATAGTGCCAATTACATTTAATGATCTTTCCTACAATAGACCGTAGGAATAATTATTCACAATTTAAACATCAGTTACGTTCAAGGAATTTCAGTAACATACGTTTTTCTTACCAAAAGTATTGTGTTTGATTTATTTTTAATGAATTATTATTTTATATGATTGCAAATTTGTCTGGTCGTTATCATATTACCATCATAAATTACACATCATATTTTGGTATTTAATCAAATTTTATAATATGACATATCGCAAAATAATAGTTTTGATGTCGTGTTTATGATTAATTTCCATGTTAACAATATCTACGTGTTATGATGATGGGCGATTTGCTTCAAATTCTCTTATCATGTTTTATGTGCTATGAAAGGTTACACAGGGGATGCCTGTTAGTATTTATGAATTGTAAAACGGAAAATGTCCATTTTATGATTGTTCGTTTTAAACTGAATTTCAAAATTTTCTATTCTGAGAAAATGAGAAAGTTATAAAACTTTAGTTGAAACTCAAAATGAACAAAATCAGAATTTTCTGTTTTGTAGATAAAACATTTTATTCAAAATAATTTACGCATGGCGTATGTGTAAAAACACATTTTTTTCCACATTTACAGCGAGACGCATCAGAAACATGCGAATTCAAGACTTATAAGACGCAATACTAGTCGATTTATCTATTTATTTTAAAAATGTGACTTTTATGGTCAAAACTACGGTAAATATAATTGTCAGAATAAAACGATGGCTGCTATTAGTTCAATGTATATATTTTTTAAATATCCAATAAATTTGTCTTTATAATATAATTATTACGTGATGAAATCAAGTATACACCAGCCTTGAATATTAAAGTAAAGAAACTTATTTTCATGCAGACAGCATCAACTGAAAGTGCACTCGTTATGCAACTGTCATATTTACGACGTCGATGGTGCGCTGAAATTATTTCATAAATCGCGGCGCGTCCTGACATTTCATAATGTCGTCAATCTTCGCGCTAAAATGTAGACCATATTCATTAATGTTATAATCTACTTTCCACGCGAGATACATAGAAGACATGCAGGAAGCGTTCTCCGGCACGAATCTCTTGCAGCACACACGCGTTTTCCTCCAAACCGTTGTTCGCTGCGGCAAATGGTCCGAGAAATTGCGAACCGCTGTTTTTGATATTGAAATTGCCCGATTCCTTCATCTAAATATGATTTTTATTCTTTGCGTTACATTATTATTAAAACATTTTATTATTTACTCACTCTTTCTAATCACGATTCCACTTTTGCAATTTTGAACCCAAAGGTTACAAAATGCAATCGCAAAACACGTATAATATAACACAATGCTTTTGCGAAACTTTTATTTTTTTTAATAGAAGAACGAAAAATAAAAAGGCGGTAAAACCTTTAATTATGCAGCGCTCTTTATGGCCTAATCCATAGATATTTACAATCCTAGTTGCTTAATATGACGGGCTGTAAACTTAACGGTCATTTTTTCTTGGAAGAGGAAAAATATTTTGGATATAAATACACCGAGGGTTGGTTTGTAAGGCATTCAGTATTTGCAACTACGACCGTGAACATGTTGAACCAAACTAAGGAATGCTTGAACCAAAATGCGAATAAACTGGACAAATTCATTAAGCTTAAGAAAGCAGGCGAAGGCACTTACGGTGTCGTTTACAAAGCGAAAGATAAAATAACAGGAAAATTTGTTGCACTAAAGAAGATGAAATTCGATAAACAGGTTGATGAAACCGAGGGTGTACCATCAACTACGATCAGAGAGATCTGTTTACTGAAGAATTTGCACCACTCAAACGTAGTCGAAATGCTGGATGTTATCTTTCCTGAACCAAAAACAATTTACTTAGTTTTCGAGTACTTAGACATGGAGCTAAAGCATTATTTGGATACTGTCAATAGTAAGTTAGACAAAGATCTGATAAAAGTGAGTATAACAATCATAATCCACGTTAACATAATTAAAAACAATATTACTTTTTTTTATAGAGCTACTGTAAGCAATTAATGGAAGGCTTAGCCTACTTGCATTCACATCGAATTCTGCATAGAGATTTAAAGCCGCAGAATATTCTAATCGATCGCGAAGGACACATTAAGCTTGCCGATTTTGGTTTGAGTCGTTGTTTTACAGTACCAGTAAGAGCTTACACGCACGAAGTTGTTACACTATGGTACAGAGCACCAGAACTGTTGCTGGGTTCCAATCTCTATGGACCTGGTATAGATGTCTGGAGTGTCGCTTGTATTATCGCAGAGATGATTAATAAAAGGGCTTTGTTTCCTGGAAATTCTGAAATCGATCAGATTTACAGGATTTTCAAGCTTTGCGGAACTCCGAATGAAACAACTTGGTCGGGATGTACTAATCTGCCGGATTATAGGAAAGGTTTTCCTCAATGGTTGCCCGAAGATATGTCAAAATTTATCAATTTCGATGACGACGATCAAAAAGAGTTCTTTAGTAAAGTCTTGGAGTGCAATCCTAATAAAAGATGGACTGCCAGAGAGTCTTTGGGTTGCAAATATTTGAAGTCCTCTAAGCTTACGGCGCCGAAATCCGAATGTTTCAAACCAATTTCTTAAATCATATTTTTTAAGCATTTTAGTTATAAGTTTATTACACATATTTAGTACGCATAATTTTATATTAGGTTCTATTTTATATTTCATTTTGCAGGATTTTAATAAAAATAAAGTATATTTATATATATATATATATTTATAATATTTTATTGCATATATACATACAAATAATTATTGACCGCAGTCTTTCCAATTTCAATTCACCACTAGAATGTTGTAGATAACTGAAGAAAGTTAAGCAATTTTACTCCCATTTCCATTTACTTCATTATTTCGACATTTAGTAAAATACGTATAACCTAGTTTATATTTATTATTCTATTTAAATGATGTTGATTGGATATGCATTGTTTTTATAAAAAAAAATGTGAATAAAATTATTTACACAATCTTTAAGCAGCTGTTGTTACAATTTGTTTTGTAATAATTATTTGAAATTAATAACATCACGATTTGATAGCACATAAAGATAAAATATATCAATCTCACGTTATTGAATATTTGTTGAAAATTATATTATAATATTAACAATATTTAAAAATACATATAAAATAAGTTACAAAATTTGAGAAAATTTAAACCACAAATCAGAACAAAGTTTTCTAAAATATTTCTTAATTGTGTGCTTTTATTTTAGTTAAACTTATTACTGATTATTTTAAAGTTAATATTTTGATTATTTTGTTAATATTGTTTAATAATATAACTTGTCATAGATGTTAGGTAATGAAGATTTGTGTTATATTATATTTATGTATATATTAAAGAGATAATAATATGCATTTTGTTGAAATTCTTTTAATAACGTGTATTAATTTTGTGGTCTTTTTATTTTCTTTGAAATTAGTAGGAAAAAGAGAATAAAAGAGATAACAGAAATGAAATTCGAGAATCAGAAATATACTAATAATTTGGCACAGAATAATAAAGAGGAACCATGCAGGCAATTAATGATAAAATAAAAGGCTTTCTGGTGAGTTTAGGATTGTCAACTCATGATAATCATAAGTAATTATCTGAAAAGTGGAAGATTAGCTGAATTATTAGTAATTGTAAGCGAAGCGATCAAAATTTTATGATACAAAAAATAGCTGCCAATCGGTTCAGTAATATATAAAGTTGCAAATTATATGTAAAATTTTCCATATTTCCACTGTAATAAACCCTAATTATGTATGTAATTATTTATGCGTTTTCTTTAAGAAAATTAAGAATAGTTTTTAGAGTTATAAAATAATTATTGTTATCTTATTTTTTTTTTATAAAATCTTTTTGGTGGATACGAAAGACAAAATTATTATTTGAATTGCTTCATATAAAACTTAAATGTGTGTTTGATATTTGAATACAAAACAATTTGATTTTTGGTTATCGTATTTTTTTTTCTCATTTTATTTGTAAGTATTTTTATTAAAAAGAGGACTTGAAATTTGGATTTTATTTTCAAATTGATGTAGTCAGTTGAGGTGTATGTTTAAGAATTGAACACAATATAGTATATGATAAATATTGTTACATATTATATTACTTACTAAAAATATATTTGAGAATTTTTATAAATATTATTGTTGTTCATTCATTGATTCATTGAATACGTTTTTAAAATGTACGAACATTTTTATGATTCAATTAATAATATTGAAGTTATGTTGCACAACGAAAGATTAAATTTAAAAGAAATTAAAGCTAGACTTAGAGTCTGCTTTAATACCAAACTAATAATGGAACTTCATAAACGTTTAGCTAAAACAAAAACAAATATTGCCGATCTAAAACGAGATCAAAACATTATTTTAAAAAAGGTGAATAGAAAACAAAATCCTGATGAAAATGAAGATAATAAGAATCGTTCCGGTATGAATCAATCAACGCTATTACTGAAAAGCTGTAACAGCCATGAGGATTCATTGGGGAATCTGGATGTATCTATTAAACAGAGTAAATCTAAAAAGTGTAATTTAATGGAATCAATGACAAAAGAAGAAATAATGGGAGAAATGAAAATAGAATTTGTAAAAGTAGAAATAAAAGAAAAAATGGAAGCAAACGATGAAAATGAACAAGAAAGAAAAATACAATTCCTCGCACTTTTCAATTTAACTACACTGGAAAACTATGATAACATAATGAAAAGAAAAATAAACGGTCGCAATTTGCGAATATCGACATTAGAGAAGAGAGTTAAATATGTTCCAAAATTATCAAATTCTTCAAACGAACTACCTGACAGTAATACATTGGAAAGTCCCGTAAAAGTAAAGAAGAAATACACTAGAAGGAATAAGAATTCTAGACGGATTAGACAAAATAAGAATAAAGGGAAACGGTCGATTGAGGGTACAAATCGGAAGACACGTAAATATAAGAAGAAAAATAAGAAAGTTAATAGTAATGAAACGGTTAATAAAAATGCCAATGAGAATGATTTGCAAGTGGATGAGTTTTCTGAAAATAACGTAAAGTCAACTAGGAAATTAACTATACTGTTGAAAACAATGATGACCAAGACAGTAGTAAATCTATTTTCTTAAAAGAACTGCATCATCTGAAAATAAATATAAAGAAAATACTTATGTCTTGATTTTTCATATTTTTAAATTTAAATATGTATTGATATCTTTTAAAAAAATAATTGTTTATTTTTTTTTGTAAATATGTTTTTATTTTCTAGGTGCCGAATTTAATATTAATAATAATATTTAAACAATAACAAACTAAAATAAATTATATATTTTTTCCTTAACTATTTTTCTATTGTATTTAATAATATATATTGGCCCATTTAGGACCAAAAGGCCATTAAAAAAAAAGGATGGACATACAATAAAAATAAAGAGAATTCTTCAACAAAAAATGAAATCACCAAATACAAACATTCTATAATAAGTAAAATTATAAGTAGTATGTATATAAATAAGAAAACATTCCCAGAAAGAAAATTAATAATGTAGTAATAAATGAAACAACGAAAAATATATTCAATGTGAGTTTAAAGATAAAAAAAAACATAAGAGGGTTGATGCAACCTATTGTTCGTAGTAATAGATCTGGGTATATCGATGTTTTTTTTTATTTATTGATTTTATTTTAACATTTAGAACACCAGGGATGGCCTTTGTTGGTTGTTTGGTAGATTATGTCGACGTTGCATGTTCCTTAAACGTGTACTTAAACGTGTTCGTTTATTATTTTTTCAAAAGATACCTCGAATAGTTTAAATAGAGTAAAATAAAAAAAAATGTACACAAATATATAAATGTAAAATCTAAAATATATTGGATAATAAATAAACGCGATGCTTAAATATCTCGAATTTATTTGGTTGATTTAGATAAGATGAGTTTAATTATTTACTACGGATAATAATTAAGCATCCATATTTCTTATTCATAATTACGTTCGAAATTACGTAACGTTTTACAAGAAATTTCACTTGTTTTAATAATAATTGCGATATTGACATTTTACTCGAAGCAAGTGCATTTTGACCTTAATTTAAACTACTTCCTGTAATATCGAGTGAATCGCAGTTACGATATTTTATATAGAAATGTAATAAAAGTAATAATTTATGAAACGAATGCACTGGAGGCGAGTGTACCTGAATTACTTCATTAACATATTAATGAATGCCTAATAATTATTTTAACAATTTCTTAATTGGACATAAAAAAAATGGAAAATTACTAATAAATATATGAACATACCTCCTATAACACGGTATATTTCAACACGATTTCACTCTAACCTGATTACAGAATTTGAACGGATTCAATTTATAAAGATTCATAATTTGTCCAGAATTTTGTTCACTTCTATTATTGACGAAATGTCATATTATAGAACTATTATAATTTTAATGTTGTGCAAATGCAACATTAATATTAATTAATGCATTTTTTCCAATGGCCAACGAAATCTGCAAACATCTCAGATGATTTTCTATAAAAAAAAGTTAGATATATCATCATTATAATATACTACTTTTAAATATACTACTTAATTGATTCTTCATTCCAATAACACGGATATCTAAAACACATATAATGTGGAACCTCGCTTAACGAGTTTAATTTGTTCCAAAATTTCCGGATTTTTACTCGTATACTGAAACGTATTCAAAAATACACACAATATGCGATGATGTAGTAGGCGCGCAATCCGAGACTTCTCTTCTTATTGCTACTTGTTGTGCGAAACGTCGCTCGTTAAGCGAGTTATTTTTCTTACAATTCATTTTGCTTTTTAAGCGAAATGTTCGATGTGCGAGGCACTCGTTAAACGAGGTTCCACTGTATTTTAGAAACGTCATTTGTGGAGGCAAATTCAAGTCTTGCATTAATTTTGGGACACCCTTTACATTACATACATCAATACCATTTTTTTCTTCTACATCAATGATAGATTTTGATTAAAATTGTGTTTGTCTGTTTTCTAACAAAACAGCTAGATGTAACATTGATTTCAAGGTCTGCGAAACGTAGGTCAGTAAAAGTGAACTCGATCGAGTTCCAAACGATAGTGAAAGAACGAAAGCGAATTTCGTTCGCGCCGCTCTGCCTCCATCCGCCGTTATATAATACCCATTCCGCTTGGAAATCAATCAATAACCATTATTAATTCTATGGACTGTGTGCATTTGCAATTAGTTTTTGTTCAAGTTACAAAAAAAAGTATAAAGCGAACGAAGGCACGCTTAAAGCAGAACTATATTAATTCGGAAATAAATTAAGATTAACATTATATATTAATGATATATTAATACAGATTTTACATCTTCAATAAATATGTCCCATATGTAAAATCAATTTAAGCTAAGAAAAAAAATCAATATGTCGTTATATAATACTAATTATACATGATTAAGATTAAGATATAATAGTGTTCTTTATTTATCAAAGTACATAAAAAGATTAAAATGGACAATCATTATTTGTTGTTGTTGTTTTGCGGAAAAGTGAAAAATTAGTATTTTTGAAAACCCGTTTCTCACTAATTAT